GTTATCAGTAGGGACCAGTGCCCACCTCCCTGACGTGTGTCTGTGTTTGCCAGTGACATTGCCCGCCACCATCATGACGTCATCTGTGCCCACGACTGTGGGTGGCCACATGATGTACCCTAGCCCCCATGCGGTGATGTATGCACCCACCTCGGGTCTGGCTGATGGCAGCCTCACCGTGCTCAATGCCTTCTCCCAGGCACCGTCCACCATGCAGGTGTCCCACAGCCAGGTCCAGGAGCAAGGTGAGTTGGGGGGGCAGGGCTGAAGAAAGGAGGATCATTTCCTCCTTTACACACACACATACTCAAACACTCCCCACAACTCAGATGTGCACACTCACACACACACAAACTAGATGCTCACACGTATACATACATGTACACACACACCGAGGCTTACACACACATTCCAACGCCCATCTTGTCCACTCCGACACTCATGCACGCTGGAACTCACACTCACATGCACACTAAGACACATTTGGACACTCACTCTTGGGCATTTTATCTGAGACTCACTTGGTCACTTAAAGCCTTTATCACCACTCCTCCAATATCTGGAAGTTTCTCTTGAGCAATCGATTTGAGTTTCTCCTGTTGTGTGCTAACACAGGTGGCGTCCCCCAGGTATTCCTGACAGCGCCATCTGGGACAGTGCAGATCCCTGTCTCTGCAGTTCAGCTTCACCAGGTAGGTGGGAGCCACCTTTCACCCAATCCCAGCTGGCCAGCCCAGCCCCTTCATCTTGACCTTGGGGATTCCATTACTGGGTGCTCCAAGCCAAGATCCTTAGCTGGGAGGCCTATCCATTTTCCTGATGGGCCTGTGGTTGGGGGGCAGGCAGGCCGGCAAGCAGGGGGCAGCCCCCCATCCCCTCCTGACACACCCTCTTCCCTCCAGATGGCGGTGATCGGGCAGCAGGCCGGGAGCAGCAGCAACCTCACCGAATTACAGGTGGTGAACCTGGACGCCGCCCACAGCACCAAGAGTGACTGATCCGCCCTGCCGCCCTGGACAGATGGCCCGAGGGACGGCACCACTTATTTATTGTTGCCTTTTCACATTTTCTTTACACACACGTTGATGGGCCGCAGGAGGGAGGCGGGGAGGAGCAGTGGGCAGCCACAGGACTGAGCCCTCTCACTCCAGCCAAAGAAACAGGCCAGCCTGCCCTCCACCCCGTCCTCCCTCAGCCTCCCCTCCTTCTTGCTCCACCTCCTGTTTCTGTTGATGGTGGGGCTGTCCTCCCTCCTCAGACTCCTCTTGCCAGCTTGGCTCCGTGTTTGCCATGAGTATTAGCTTACCCGTGGGACCGTGCTCCCCTTCCCAGACACAGGCCTCTGTGGGACTAGGCACTGTGTCCCCCCTGAGGAAGCAGTTGGGGTCCTCTCCCCAGCCTCCTTGCTGACCCCACGTCAGCACTGTCTGCCACAGGCTGGGTCGAAAGAGCCCTACCCCTGCCCCTCAGGGAGCCAGCTGGGGAGATGTGGTGTCTTCCCTTAAGTGGCACCCACTGCCCTTGCAGCTCCTGAGCAGCAGGGCCTGTGCATGAAGCAGGGTCCTGGGGCCACCTGCCCTGCCCTGCCGCTCCCCGGGAACTCCAGGGGCTGCTGGGTTGGAGGGAACCGCCAGTGTTCCCTCTCCCCCGTCTTCCCCCCTCTCCTCCCAGCTGCTTTACTTAAAGTTGATTTTGAACTTTTTATTTGAGGAGACGAAGTGAAAACAAATCTATAAATATATATTTTTAAAATATTTAACTTTTTTTTATGGCGTTTTTCTCGTCCCCCTCCCTGCCCGAGCTTCCCTTCCCTGGGGAGCCCTGGGGCTCCCCGGAACTGGCTGGGCCTCTGGGGACAGAGCTACCCCACGAGTTCAGGGCCTGCCAGTGTGGGGGGGAGATTCTGGGATTGCCCGGTCCTGGGTTGTTTCCAGGAGAGAACCGGGGGAGGGGCCCTCAGGCCATGCCCCAACGGGGTGGGGAGGGTGACCCACAGCCCTGGGCCTCTTTTCGCCCTTCAAGGCTGTGCTAGGGAGCGGGAAGAGGGAGACCAAATGTGGGGGTGGGGGGAGGGTTTCAGAGGCAACTGACTTCATTTGTGCCACACGCATGGGCATTGCAGCCTTGTGCTCCCCCAGGCATGCAGCTGCCTGGGGCTCAAGTTGCAGTGAGCAGGGTGGGGTCTGGGAGGGGGTGAGAGGCAGGAATGGGGGGCAGAAGAAATGGGAGCAGCTTTTGGGCTGAGGGCAGCGATAGGGGAGCCAGAAATGGCAGCTCTCCCAGGGAGTGAGCAGCTACTGTAACTTTTTAAAATTAAGACAAAAAGCCTTGAAGAAAATGACTTTATTTTTCTAAGTGTAACCTCAGTATTTATGTAATTTGTACAGGGGCCGTGCCCCACCCCTTCTGCCGGCTTTGGAGTAGACCTTGAGGGTGGGCCAACATAGGGAGAGGGTCCCTGTGTCAGAGCCTACCTTCACCACCTGTATCCAGAGAGGGAGCTGTTTCAGAACAGGGCAGCTGTGGGGTGGAGTTTAATTAGCCCCTTAGGACTGCCTTCAGTAGGAACAAGCCTGCTTCTGTGATTAGGTGAAGGGGTGGGGGAAGTTTTTACGCAGAGCCTAGCTATCAAGGGGATGATTTGCCAACATGTTTTGAGAACCTCCGAACCTCTAACCCCCATTGCTGTCTTGCCCCAACTTGGGGTGCCAAGATGGAAGTCAAGTCATCTTTCTGGCTTTCTCCTGGAGATAGCTGGGGGCTTATGGGTGGCTTACAAGATTGGGGCATGGCAAATCAGGGGCCAGAGAGTGGGGGAGCTTGGGACTCAGGTCTGTAACTGCCCAGCCCCTTTCTCTGCTCTTGTTTCACTCCACCATCACTCACTCACTCCCCACTCCCCCACCCAGGGGAGGAGACCTTGATGAATTCCTCCTCTCCTTCCCACAAAAGACAGACCCAGTGAGTGAATCAGGCGAAGTGCTTATAATGTGTGTTGTGTGAGCGTGCCCTTGGGAGAATATGCGTGCGTCAGGGATGAGGTGGCATTTATACGCGCAGCAACCCTTGGTGTTTCCCTTCCTTGGTGGCTCTGGGGTGTGTGTGTGTGTGTGTGCGTGAGCGCGCGCGTGCCTGAGTGAATGTGTGTGTGTGTGAATGTGGGGTGTGTATGTTAGTGGTTTCTACTTCCCCTGGGATGCTGACCCAGGAATAGTGGACATGGTCACAGTCCTATGTACAGAGCTTTCTTTTGTATTAAGAAAAAATACTCTTTCAATAAATGTATCATTTTTGTGCACAGACTGTGGGGTCTTTGCCTTTGTTTTACCATAAAGGGAGGTAGGGTGGGAAGTACCAGCGCGAATCAAACCCCAAAATTGCTCTGAGAAGCAAGCCGAGCTGCTTGATAAAATGCTAACAGGTGTTTTGGGTTGTTGAACTCTGCGATTTAAATTAAGGAACATTTAGGAGGGCTGGGGCCTTTATCTTTGGCCCCAGCTTCACTAGGTACTTAAGTCAACACAGAGATGAGAAATCTTAATTAACAGGAAAAGTGACTCAACGAATCCAAAGCAACCAGTTCGGGAAACTCATGGCCACGTGACCTAGTGCAAACTAGGAGGACAGACCTAGGGTGGGAGTG